ATCGCTGAAGTTCCTCGGAAAGAATTTATACCGGAAATTAACAAACGAGCAGATATTTAACGAATTTCACTTGAAGATCAAATTTCCTATGCAACTTGGGTTATTTTCGTTTCATATTTTATGGATTTCCCATAGATTCCCTACAAGATATTTATTGAAGATTGTTTTTCGTGGACAGAATAACGAATTATGACATTTCTTTAGAAGTTGGAATACATATATTTTTATAGAAAACTGGATAAAATATAAAGTTAAACTTTTCCATATTTGTTAAAAACCAAAATAAGATTTTTACTCAGCAAAGCTACAGATTTAGATTAGAAGTTTTGAACACCTATTTGAAAGCGACATAAATGTTGCAAATTTTAACGTGTCTTGGTAAAAATTAGTGTGAAAAAGTAGCTAACAGATCCACTCGTAATTTGTTTTTAACTAAACGTCACTCCAGTGTGAAAACAGACCACTAAAATTATATAGCGTATTCTCATGAGTTTTAAAAAAACAATCATACTTTTTAGTAAATGCTGGATCGAACTTTGTAATATATTTTTCTTTAAAAGTTTACATTAACAGGCTATGCATTAGATCATTTTCAGCACCATAACCCATTTTGCTCCACAAACGTTTTAGCTTGAAATTGCTTACAAATACAAATTACTTGTACTAAATTGAAACCATGGAAGCTTACAAGATTGATATGACACCAACCTCATTATAAACATACATAAAAGTTTCAAATCTGAGAAGAAAAACACTTTTGTCAAATTACATTTTCTTTAAAAAAAATCAGTTTAAAGTACACTCATAATCTGAGCAATAAAACTTACCTTAACTATCTTTTTATTACTTAATTATTAATTTTTGGAAATTTAATTGTGAAAATTTTCCAGTATATGGCACCAATTTCTCAAATATGACTAAGTTATGTGTATTGATTAAAGTTGAGCAACAGGTAGATCTTATATAAACAAGTACTTTTAGATCACACACTTGAAAAAAATATTCTGTAACTGGTTTTTAAATACCATTTTTTTGAACAATATTCCCTTTTTTCCTAATAAAACAACATCTTTCTGGTTTCATTTCAACATGTTTTAATATTTCTCTCCGCAGAATTTACATATAAAAAAAAAAAGTTCCAATAGAACAAAACTCGGAAATTGTTCACATCTATTATGCAGGTTTCTGTAATAGACTTAGAGATAAACTACAATGATAATTGTAGTATATTTTTTTTATAAACTATTTGCTGAAAGCTTCTGAAGAAGTACAGTAATACAATTATAGCAAGGTTCACAGTTTAGAATTAAGTTAAATCTGTCGCTATAATAGCCTTACAATTACTATGAACATGTAAGGAAACATTTTTCCTTGAATTAATTATCTACATATATATAAAAAAGGGGGAAAATGCCACAGTGAAAACACTGCCATAGTAGAATGACATTTAACAAATCATATAATGTAAAAAAAAACAAAAACAATTTCTATAGAATATTTACATCCTAATAATATACAAAATAATGCTGATCAGCTGCTTTACAAATCAAAGACCAACTGATACATTCAATGAAATACTAACCAAGGCTATTTTAATTTGTTCATTGTGAGCAGATATAGTCCTTGGAAAGATTCATAAACATAGATGCTGTATAATACACTATTAAGTCAGTTTTTGACATCTCTTCAAGAAACGGCTGATATGATTAAGTGCACATCTGGAAACAATTCTTTCTTGAGTTTCACAGTATTTTATTAACAAAAAGGAGAAACCGTTGGATCAAAGGTTTTAAATACCTCTTTTAATGATGCCTGTTGTCCATTGTCTTTTGGTGACTGGTTATCATCAGGAACAAACGTTACTGGTGAATGGCTAGGACTCCCAGTTCCTTTTAAAGACGTTTCTTGCAATGCCTGTGTTCTGGGATCAGTAACTGTTGACACTGAGGATGTAAGGGTTACTGCTTCACAAGATGTTGTCAAAGTCTTAGCTGATTGTCTAAGCTTAGGTCTACGATTGTAACTGTTGTATGTAGAGCTGCCATCACTTTGATCATTGTACAAATTTAGTGGAGAAACATAGTCCCTACTTGATTTTCTGTTAAATTGAGATACCTTCTGTTTTTCATTATCTCCAAAGGAAGTTTCAGACTTTTGGGGAGCATCATGAGTTGATGTGTTAGTATGTACATCTGTTGTCTCAGAAGCTTTGAGTCTTGGATCTGTTGCAGAACCTACAGATGGTTTAGAACACAGATTTGAGATGTTTGGAACACCACCCCCACTTCCGACTGACACAACATTTTGTAGAATTTGTGATAAACCCAATTTTTGTCCTAACTGATGGCTTATTGAAACAGGGTTTACACTTAATCCTATCTGCTTGAGAGGCAGTCCTGCTCTTCCTACTTGATGAAGGCTAGCAAGTCTTGGGTCTGTTATAGAACGAGGCAAGTGACTAACAGAAGGGTTAGGTAAACTTGTAACTGGCCAACTTTGATCCTGAATGTGTGGAGGTGTTGATCCACTAGAAGTATTCTGACGCAGTAGTCGAGGATCACTGGATACCGCTGTTACACCTTTTATCAGCCGTGGATCCACAGGCTTCACTGATACAGGTTTATTTTCAGTTGATCCAAAAAGTTCAGCTGCAGTCGGAAGCGTATTGTTTACAAGGATAGGAAGAGGAGGCAAACTGTGCTGACCCTCAGACTGTAACATTAATTCTCTAGACATGTAGTTAACAGCATTATTAGGTAATGTTTCTGGAAAGTTTCCCAACAAAGATGTCTGAGTGGGTGGAGATATCTGAAGTTGAGTGGGAGGAGGAACTTCAGTCAAATGCTTCCTAACACGCGGGTCATTGAATAGTTTTGGATCCCCGTGACCTGCAATAACATACGTAATATAATTTGGGTGAGATTTTGAAACAGGGTGCAGTTTGTAACGAGCATTTTTTGTTACACTTCTGCTCTTTTCACTAGTTTCAGTTTTAACCATGCTATCAATTGTACTCTGAGCTGAGAGAGAATGTTCACTCGAACTTGAGTTTGTGGTATTCACCGACTGGGTTGCTGTTACACCTCCTCCTCCTCCTAAGCGAGGGTCACGTGTTGAGGTGCTGCTACCCATTCTTGAATCACGGGATTGCAGGCGTGGGTCTCGATGTGACTGTCCTACTCGTGGATCTCGAGAAGGGACTAGTTCTTGCACTTCCTTAACTCTTGGGTCTTTGCTATTAGTCCCACCTATTCTTTGTTCACTGTTTTCCACAGTAGTCACTACAGGATCAGAAGATGCATTTGAAACAGACTTCACAACTGGAACAGGAGCTGTACCGGCAAGGATATTTTTCCAAAACTCTGGCTGCTGGCTGAAAGCTTGAGCTACTGCTGGTGAAGAACTGATATTTGTCTGCTGCTTGATTGCACTCAACATTTCAGCTATGTTAAGAGTAGGTTGGCTTGTTGCTGGTGTTTCCTTCACTTGAATCTGGGGTTTTGGTGGTGGAGGCTGCAGAGCAAAAAAAAAGTACTGATAATATAGCTAGTTTTCACAAGAGTCTAATGGGACTGGCAGATGGCTCAAAGTTCTTTAATTTATAAGAAAATGATGCTTCATTGCAAGAACACATAGTATCAAAGTAGTATTAGATTATGCCTAAATTTAACCTTTTCAATATAACCTTAACCTGAAGAGGCTTATGCCTTCAATTTCTCAGCTTATTTACGGTGAACTCCTAGTATAAGAGGTTTACTATTTCCAAACTTAACTTTTTCACGATAGCTGTGACCAGTTACTCAGATTACATGTAATTTATCTACCCAATGGGAAGACCTACACTAATAAAAATATACCAGAAAAAAAAATTGAATTGATAGGAATTACTAATTATGTTTCCACTTACAAATTATCAAAATAAGAAAAATCTTGTGTGGCTCCCAAACAAGTAGACTGTTTTCAACTTTGATAAATATTTTTAACATTTCATTATAAGCAAGGTACTAACTTGTGCCACAAATATACCACCCCCATTCCTCTTTGCTAAAAGCTGATCTGAAAAGGTTTTAGTTCACATTCCTCAGTTATCTTATTTCACCCAAACTTTTACTATAAAATTATGCTTAAATTAACTGTTTTTGGTCTCTGTTTCAGATACTGAAACCTCCTGCCAGTGGCAAATGTATTTCTAGTATGTGAAGTTGTGTCAATATACTGTAAAGGGTCAGCACAAGTTTAAAAAAAAAAGTCAGTAATGATAACATATATATGAAATATGGAAATAAACCAATGCTAAACTATAACCTTATGAACATTCCTTTCTTAAAAAATAAACAATATGTACTTATATTCTGTATCAGTAAAAGGAAGCCTTCCAGTCTTTCTTATAAAAACAAAATGTAATTTTCATCGGCCAGCTTTTCAAAGTTATCTTTGACCTACTACAGCTCTCTAGATGTTACATTTTATAGTTATACAACATGCCAGGTTATTTATATTCGTAATAGTTACACACACATTACAATTGTAAAGATTCTAAAAGCACATTTCAGAGACATTAATAGCTTTTTCATGATGCTCAAAAAGATACCAGAAATGCAACAGTAATTAAGCCAGAATCAAAGCAACCCTCTGATAAAAATATTTTGAAGATAGGCCTGATGAAGGTTTGTTGTTAACATATAGCTTCAAAATGGGCTATCTGTGCTGTACCCACTGTAGGAATCAAACCCCTAAATTTTAGCAAAATAACTCCTCAAAGTTACAGCTAAACCACCAGGGAGAGGGTTACACGATGGAAATTGTAGTGTCTGTTAATTTATTAATCCAGAGTAATGCAACTTGATAAATTGAATGAAAATAGACTTATCAGTCACTCTAAGATATATATTTCAAAAGTATTTCCCCTTGCAAAGATCTGGTTTCAGTAATAATGGATCTACCTTAACATTGAATTATACTTGTATATTCTTACCAGCTTTTGAAAAATAACTTTGGACTTATTTTTAAAATTCGAAGAAATGGTTTAATTACTAATTGTTTTGACAAAATTGTAATTAAGAACTAAAGGTTCACAGCTTCAAAAAAAAAAAAAAGTATCCATAGTAAAACTTTTGTAAAAATTACATACCATTTGTTGTAATTTTTTCAGGACTGCAGTTAATGGTTGGTCCTCTGTATCATCATCATCTTCACTACTATCCCACTCGACATTTTTACCTTTTTCCTTATTAACACTGTCTTCCTGCTCTTTCTCTTCTGTATATTCTTCTTCTGGCTTTAAATCTTGCTCTTCTAGGCCTTCTGTGCTGCTTTCTCCCACTTCTTTCTGCTGCTGCTGAATACGTAAAAAGAGTTGTTTCTGTCGCCGAGGTAGATGGCTAGGGATAGAGATCACATTGTTGGCTCCTTGCGAACTATTGGTGTCTGATGGAGGAGATGCAGAGAGTGGAAGCCCACAGCTTTCTTCTTCTACACTGTGTAAAGGGCTGCCTTGCATTATTTCTTCTTTACTTTCTTCTTGTTCTTTTAGTTTCGACGTATCATTAACATATCTAGATAAACTTCTTTCAGAATCATGTCCTTGTTGTGAAATATGATCGTGGTTAAAATGAGAACCTAAAATAACAAATGCTGCTTAATAAAACATTTCTTAGCATTAGAAGTAATTACTACCTACTAAAATATTTTTATCTAAATACTCCATTTGAAAATGTTCTGTCTGCTATAAAAATGTTCATTTTGACAAGAGTTCATATAAAATTATACCACTGCAAGTTTGAACCTGTACCACAGTAATGCTTTGGGAAAACAAATTCTGTTAATTTTACCTTTAAAAAAAAAGTTTAAGAAATTAATTAATGATTCTAGGTATATGACAAAAGACCAAATATGGTTCGATAATCACCTTTTGATCCTCTTTCTGACTGGTCATGAAAGGAGTATTTCTGGTCTTCAACCTGTGACCAACGATTGGAAGAAGTTCTCGACTGGAAACTAGAGGAATTGAACTCACCAGTTTCTTCTGATTCCCGATTTGGTGACATACTGGATGGGGGTTTCAACAGCCCCGAAGAACTTCCAAGTGAAACTATACCTGGTGGAGCTTGAAGCCCATGACCCAATTTTTTCTGAGACTGTAATGTATCTGAGTAGAAGTTGAGCCTGAAAATATAAATATGACAAAAATATTAGAGGGACTTGTATGTATTAAATCTTTTAAATATTCCAAATGTTTTTAGCATATAGCCTCATTTGTTATTTGCACATTAAGTGTAACAAACATTTTTGGTATATTTCTTAGGTATGTGTACAACTTGCACCTTGGTATTCTTCAATTCCAAAAAAGCTAGATTCATATTACAAGCATGCTGTTCAAGTTAAGATCAAATCTTTGTAAAGGTGGTCTTGGGTTGTTCATGTACCTAACTCACATTTCAATCGCTGGTGTTTTGTAGTTTTTTGAAATGCTTTAATGGATATAGTTTTTCACATTTTCAAAAAATTGTACTTTAGCATTTATGACACACATATAAAATAAAATGTAAAAGACTGTACAGAACACTTATTTATAATACCTATCATAAGAGTTTTGAGGTGGACTCAAAATGCCACCATTATATGAAAATTGTTGCCGTTGCTGTTGACGCATTTGATTCTTTAGCCTGCGTTGAAGCTGTTGCTGCTGAACCTCTTGTCTCCAACTCTCTGCCTGTTCTTTAACATGACGAGGTGGTGATCCCAGGAGACTTGGCCGCTTCTTTGAGGGGGAGTGACCTCTTTCAGATCCTTTTAATCTTGAGGCATCACCACCTGCTCCATCTTTATCATCGTCTTCCATTTTTTCACTCTCTAAATACTACGTACCAGAAACAGAGACATAATTAAAAAATATATTCATTCCTCGCATGTATAACGTATATTATAAAAGATTACACACCAGTTCAAATAAACACTGAATTATAAGTTTTTTTATATATATATGCCAAAAATCCTACATATGTTTTCCAAATGTCACATTTAGCATAACAAATCAATTCATGTTTTGCATTTTGTCAACATTATGATGAACTGTGCGTATGTGAAAGTTACTATTCTGCCTTTGTTACAAAACTTCAGCACTTAGAAAGAATAACACCATCCTTCATGTTTAAAATTGGTAGAATGACACAAAACAGATGATACATCAAGTCGCTTAGTGCCTTGATCTTTCAATAATTTTACCGTATGTTAAACAAATCTATAGGTAAAGGATGTCCTCAAAATAAAGTTAAACAAAATTGATCATCAATTAAGTTTTTGATGTATTACAAGACACTTAACATCAACCAAAGAAGTATTCAAAGATTTTACAGCAATTCTTAACAAGGAAACAAAATAAGACTACATATTACTTGCTACTAAAAACAAAGTTTAAAAATTTGTCTTCATTATAAAAATTTCATAAATGTTTCTGATAATTTTCAACACAGTTGAGTACAAAGCTAATTAAGTTTAATATCTGGGACTACTACCCAGTTAAAAAAATGACTTATCAATAAATACTGGATTATCCATAATGAGAACATTTATCTTGTTATACAATCTATAATACTTACTTTATCTAGGATTTTCCTGGTCTCAGCTGTTAACTCAGCATGGGAGAAAATACAGTTGTTTTCTGCATAGCACTTGGCACCCGTGTGAAAAAACTTGCATGGAAATTCACATGAGACGTCATTAAGGAAAAGTATGTAGTCACCAAAGAAAGGAATTTTTTTAAAACTTATTTATAACAACACGAATTCTTATTGAGAGTAATATCTGATGTTCAAGGTATACCCCAACAACATCTGTACCCCCTGATGCTCACTTTCATTATTTCAAATCCTCACAAGGTTCAAAAACATTAACTTGTATAGGTTCTTTAGTGACTCAGTATAACAAACACAAAAAATTTAGGACATTTGATGTAAACACCAACGAAAACCGAAAATTTGTAGCTTCACCTTATTAGTTGATAATGTAATACACGGTTGTTCAGATGCTATTTCAATTGAGTGACAATACAACACAAACTGTGAACACATTCTTCTTTTACAAAACAATCAATCCAGAATGTTTTGATTCCAGATGAAGTTGAAACTTATAATACAATAAAGATTTGGATTAGCATTTGATTGCAGCAGACATTCCCAACCTGGGGTACATAGGGGTCTGAGAGTATAACCATGGTTTACACTTTACATGGTGTTTTAATCAGCAGTCAGACAGAGAGAGCAAAGTGACTCAAATAAATATATGCCGAGTTCAATTTATCAATACTATAAAATCCTTATGCAGTCCACACATACAGATTTCATAATAAAATAATTTAAAATCAATATAATTTTATCAATTTTTGATCCTTAATTTTTGGGGGTACATGGGAATCTGTCAATATGCCCAAGGGGTACAGAGGAACAAAAAGGTTGGGAATCCCTGGATTACAGGAAGGTCAAGTCATGGTTATAAACAAATATACAAACTTTTCTCAAAAATTTTCACTTTTACTATTTCAAAATTCATCATATCACGTAAAATTTCAAGTTATAGTTTACAGATGAAAAATAATTATTCGAAATTAAATGTCTGCTATTTTTATCTAAAGTGCATTCAACAGTTTATTTCTAAGACTAAATATATATTAAAGGATATTGTGCATGAACAAACAATTCTCTCCTCTGGCACAAAACCCATGTATATAAAACTTGCAGAGTTCTTTTTTCTTTGATAAGGTGTGGTCATGAAGGTATGGGCAATCGTCTCCCTAATAATAATAATAAACAAAAACATTTCACCTTGAGAATGTTAAATATTTTCCTTTACGAGCTAGTGGTAACAATGTTTTTCTATAGATTCTGATTTGTTAATTGAGATTTTAATCATGAAACCATTAATTCAAGAAACAAAGTTGAAACTTTTTGTGAATATGTTTTCCCTAAAAGTACTTTGAACTGAGTGATGATTTAACAAGTTAGTTCTTACTCTTATTAGGGATAACTACAGTTGTTCAAAGGTTTTAATGATTAGAATACATCTAATTCAATGATAAAAAAAACCAAAATCATTCCAGTAAATCATGGCATAAAATTCCAAACAGTAATCAAATATTTATTTCTAAACTGAAATAATTTAAGCAGAAAATGACTTTTTTTTATGCAAGTAATATACTGAAGTTCATCTCTACAATGAAATGCAAAAACTAGTTTTAAGAGAGGTTATAATCATATACATTACTGTGAAATCTGTATGAATATAAAGGGCAATGCAAACTGCTTATTATATAAACTCTTTAAGCTCATGTACTTAAGCCCAAATGATACAATACATATACGATTTACTAGATCTAGTGCATGAACTTAAGCTCATAATTTAAATTTTTTAAAGTTTAATTCTTGTTTATTTTTATACACCTCGTGAATAACCAAGTCTTTCTCACCAACACCTCAGTTAAAATAATTGTGTACAAAGAAACCAAAGTAATAATACTGTACAAGTTCTCTTTCCATCTTACCCTGAAACAATTTCCTTCCAAATAAAACTTGCACATTTGCTTTCGATTTTCTCTTTTGTTCTTTATTTTTTTCTTTCCTTTTTTGGCCTTTTTGTTCTCTGGTCCACCCCGACTGCCCTTTGTTTTCCTTTTCCTACCTCCTCTTTCAGAGACGTAATGCCTACTTGGACCTTTACGTTGACTATGGCCTGAATGATGATGAGACCTAGGAGCTCTTTCATCAAGATCATCTGAATCTTCATTGTATGAGCAATCACTGAAAGGGCTTGTAGAATTATAAGGGGACCTATAATTGAATAACAACAACAACAAAAATCTTCTTACTATAAAATACCAAAGAGCATCCTTACATTAAAACATCAGCTGTATTTCTACAATATATTTTAACTCCCAATGTCAAAGAGGTTTGTGTTTTAGTCCCTTACAACGCAATCACAACCTTTAAAATAAAACAAATTCTAAAATGCATCTCTATATCTTTGAAAGAATTTTATTAGTTTTTCTTCTTCACTCACGTATGCATGAGAACACATACAAAGTTCAAAAACCACATTTAACTCCTTAAACCCGAGCGGATGCTGCCAGTGTCTGGTTGAAAATCCTGATTTACCCAACGTACAGTGACAGCATCTGATAACATTTATGTCTCTTTGGCTAAAAACTAATAGAAACCATGTTACTACCCACATAATTAAGAAAATTGAAGTGTATCTCTAATTTTGAAGTGAAATGCTACAATGAAAGCAGCTGATCAACATTACCCACAGCTGACTCTTAGCCTACTCTCATCAGACCAAATAGCAGAATTTGACTCACTCTTATAATGCAACCACAGCACAAGAATACATAGCAAGTTTTTTTTTTTTTTTGCAATAAGAAGACAAACTACAGAACCTCAGGTATACAGTCTGGCATGCTAACCACTGATAAACGGAATACGTGTCTACTGATACATATCAATCTTAGCTTTGTTCTATTTCACCAAAAACATTGACAAACTCTCATTGCCAAAATTTATACATAAACTACTTTCCCAGTACCAGGTTTAGTTTTAAATTCACAATAAAAATTAAAAACTCGTGTTTTAATATTTTATTACTTATATGAAATTGTTAAACTTTAGGAAGTTTGAAAAAGAATACCCATTTTACATGTTGGTGGAAAACTTCAAGTTATCATCCTAGTGAAACAGTTAGTATACAGAATTAAATGCAGTACCTCAGGTAATCAGGACTGTCATATGGGCTGTCATATGGTCCTGGTGATCCATATGCACTAGGATAATCATCATCATATTCATGATGATAATCTCGATGTGACTTATAGTAAGTAGGGCTGTAGCCTGGGGAAGGGCTTCTTGTAAACCATGATTCTTCTTCAACAATTCTATCATGGTCCACATACTTTGTGTGCTTTTTCTTTTGTTTCTATATTAAAAACAAGCAAAAAAAAGTTTTAATTTAGTTAACAGAAGTTAGTACAATGACTACAACTGTCAGCTGATCTCACTAACAGATCACCGCTATTCATCCTACTTTGTATTAGAGAAGTTGAGTACATTACATTAAAATGATTTTAGAGGCTCACCACATCCACTTATGTTTTATCTGATGGCTATACATCTTGACAGTAGTCCTGCAGTATAGTTTCAATTGCCAAAAGTTTTGTTGAACAACTTTCATGCCCAAGGCACACCACTTCTATGTGTAGACTCTCCATAATCCATATACTATATAAAAATAATTTTTTAGCACCAGTTTCTAACAGTCTGACTGCACAGAACTTCCCAGGTGCTGTGTCTGATGACTTGACCATTATGGCTGTTTACGAATTAGCTTGAATACCCATTTCATTCTTCAGATGCTTGAATGTGGAATATGACTAGAAACCTTAACTTGGTAAACCCATACCCAGTTGGCCTAACATCCTGATGGAGAACCTTTCTGATTATATTGTATACCGTTGCCTGGAGCACGAGGATGGATTCTGCCATTGACCTTTGTATTCATGGATTATCACCTGTTAAAGAATGCTGCAATTTGTTTATCATAACAGGAGTACAACTTGTTGCGAGTCTCTCTGGATAGTCCCGACACTCCAAGTTGATCCACATTCCTTTGTTTTCCAATGCCATTAAGTACAAAGGATATCCTACAAACTTTCCATAATCCAACTAGTATACGAGGACAATGGTTTCCCTGTGGACCATTTCAAAAGTCCAATCACCTAAGAATTCATAGGTACTGCATCCAGCAACATGACTGACATTTCTTTTTATGGAATACAAGTTTCATTCTCCAGCTGTTTTCTAATGCCAAATACAAGGGATATCTACATCTTGGAAATTTGAAATACCTAATCTGAATGTATTTTTATGGTCAAAATGTATGAGCATTCTGTGTTGGAAAGGACTTTGACATACCTTTCCCAGTGATTATTTTAAGTGGCATCCCTCTACTTTACTTACAGAATGGCATTCCACCATGACTATTTTAATTTTGGTTGTCATGCAACTTGCTAATTTGCATATTCAGTCATTTTAATATAACATACTCAATTTTCTGTATAAGGTGACTAAACAAAACATAAATAACATTACTTTTAAATCCTGAAAACTTTTAATTCACTGAAAGAAAAACTCATAAATAAGCATATTTTAACTGTAACATGTTAAATTAAAAAAAAAAAATTGTTTGAGTCTGTTCGATAAAAAACTTCATCAGTACATAAATGTAGAAAAACAAAACCTGTACTCTAGTATACCAAGTTAACCATCTGCAAAAAATATATGAAATGTGTCAGACCACCACTTTAACAAATGTATGAAAAATTACAATACAAAAAAGGAACAAAATAAAATCTAATTCCTTGAACCTTAGAAAAGTGACAACAATTGTAAAATATTTGTCAAACTTAACATGCCTAATGCATTGTTGTAAATGGTCCATGATCCTGAAGATGGAATTTTCTGTTACTTTATATATTTTGAAACTTCTACTTCATACTTTCATGTTATAATTTAACAAATACTCACAGAAAGAATGTCTAAACAGTATTTGTAAGGTTGTATTATTATGAAACAAGTGATCAACACTTATAATACAGTTGTGTTACTGTGATATGGGTAATTAAGGTTGTATTGTTGTTTCTTATCCCTAGATCATATCATGACTATTAAGCTATATCTATATCACCAATATCTGTATTAATCACATCTCTGTATGTAGTTTAAAAAGTTATTCCAATATACAAATGCAAGAAAAAATTAAAAAACAAACAAACTAACATTCATTTTTATTTTACAATTTCTTTCCTACACAAACTAGACTACATTATTTATAAAATTTAAGTCAAACATAATTAAATATGCTAAAACTAGATTATACATTTAAAATTAGCAACAATGGATAACCTTAAGTTTTCCTTCTTTTGCGACTTCTAAATGGATTGGTTCAATATCATTGACTATTTTTTTCTTCTTCTTTCTTTTTTTCTTTTTCTTCTTTAGGCTGTCATCTCCAAGATCTACATCTAAAGGTTCTGACTGTTCTAGTTCCTGCTTTTGTTCTAGTGCTGGACTTTCTTTCACTTCATCTAGAGAAATGCCACCAGTAATATTCTTAAAGACATAATGCACTCACTCTTCTAATCATAAAATACTCCTTACTATTCACATGAAATACTGGCATCCTAAGCTTCTTACGATAAACATATCAAAAGTAAAAGCAGTATAATAATTACTTATAATATATTGAACAGCAATGGTAATAACCATAAATGATTTTTTTTTGTCTTATTTTACACTGATGAAAATAAGTAAGAAACATCTAATATTTCACATCTATATTATTTGGATAAGTGACTGTTTTTAGCTCCTGTCACACACAAATAGTACTTTAATATGTAATTTTACCCATTTAAACATATCTACTTATTAATGGTAACTGTAAAAATAGTTTGTTTCTATAAGAATATATATATTCTTGTAAAATAAAAAAATACAATTTTGTAACCAATTCTAAAAGGAAAATTACATTTTCAAATCCTGATACTAACTAATAACAGAGAAACATTTTCACTTAAATAATATTTCATCATCTAGTGAGCAGTTTTCAGATCATCAAATTTTGAGGTCTTCTTATTCTTTGAAGATTCTAAAATTTAAATAGTTTTTTAACTTCTTCAGCAACAAGAGCTACTATTTAAAAGTTATTGAAAAATGAATGAGCTATTTTTATTTCTGCCAATTTATGTACCATTTTTTTTTTTTCATAATCACTCACTTTGTTCTTTGACATCTCCAACAGGTGTTACCTCTTCTTCAGAGTCATCAAGAATTTCACCTTCTTCTAAATCTACATCCTCTTGGGGTTCAGAGATTCCATTAACTTTGATCTCCTCACTAGAAATGAAAAGAAAAATTACTGGAAATTCTACAGTAGATTTTCCTCTTGCTACAAAAAATATTCTCATGAAAACATGATTGAGACCCTTTCCAACTGTAACAATTGAGTATTATGACCATCTTCTTGTACTGATTTACAGAATTCTTTCTCACACAGTTTAATTTAAACTTACTAAAGAACACAAGATATTTCAATCTAACTTCAATAATGGTAATGATATGTAAAAACACATTAAATAAATGAAACTTTAAATTTACATTTACAATGACATTGTGATAATTTACAGGAAAACATCACATATGCAAAATTATTTTGTGTACTTTGTTTTGAATGACCATTTAGATGTTTGTCAATTTTCAAGTTAATTATTTGGTCTGAATATGAAAAATTCAAATACTTAACCTCCATAAGCTCATTTTGTAAATGATAATTTTCCTGTAAGTCAGTGCAAAGAGTCCCAAGAACTCCTAAAGGCAAGTGAACTCCAATATAAAAAAATTCACAAATATAAACACTTGTTTTGAAAAATCTTGTGCATGTTCATGCTAAGTTCTAGGTAAATCTGCAAGACTCAAGTTTAAATATTAATACCAAATTTTCATGTCAGCTGATTCATTCAATCATGACAGCTTAATTTTTCAATCCAATTGTGAATTACAGTAACAAGCATATTGAAAATCCTTAGAGTCAGTAGCTGGGCACATTATATTGATAACAAGAGCTTCTTGACACACACGTATTAATGTCCAAGATTCTTCAATTTACTTATTAAAAAAGTTAAAATACATCTGAATTTGGGACCCTTTCAAAAAAATTATAATTTATAATCAAAAGTCTAGATGTGAAGCTTTAGAGTAATTTTTTTTAAAAAATGTGGGAGCAATTCAAAAAGTTCACCATCTCATAAACTTCCAAGATCAGTTCCCCACTATAATTTTTAAGAGGCCCAATCCCCATCATAACATTCACCAAATATACAAGTATCCTGAACAATTTCCAAAAACCTAACACCCTCACTGTCAGACTCAAAATTTTCCCAATCAATACCCCTGAAATTAAAATCTCCCATAATAACATTTTTTAAGCTACCATTCTGATCTTATTATACAATTCTCATTAACTTCTACATTCTGACTTGGTGATCTACAACAAATCCCAATTACAAGACTTTTCCCTTTATATCCACTAACACTAACCCAAATTGATCCAACCTCAGTGCTACTTTCTTTAATATGCCCTAACACAACAGGATGTAATTCACTCCTCATATATGAATCTACTCCTCCCCCTTTTTTTTCCAATACTCTATCTCTAGTAAATAATTTGTAGCCTAGTATTTCAAAACAATTTCTCTCATCATAATTGCTCAAATTCAACCAAGTCTCAGTGATACCCATAATATCAAAATACTCAGTTTCCACAACTGCTTTGAACTCAATTTTATTTCTAATACTCCTAACATTACAATTAGTTACAATTAATCATATATTTTAGAATATGTTCATGTTTTATACCTGTTTTCCTGTCAATTATATTTCCTATTTTACTAATATCATAGCCCTCACCTCTGTGTAGCCCTAGTTTTAATCAACCACTACAGCCGAGTTACTAGCCTTTGTTAACATGCTAATATCTGCCTTGTTTAAGTGTAAGCCATCCATTCCAAAAAGATTACCTTTCCCATTAAAATAATACCACAAATCCAACCATCCTATTTGCTCATCCCTACTTATTGATCTAAGCCTGGCATTCAATCCTAGTGAACTACTTAGCATCTCATACCCATAATTTATTCTTGGCAATATCCCTAACAAAATCAAGCTATGACCCCTTTCCTTAAATGCCCTTAATCAATAAGCTTCTCAGATCCATCTTTCCTTACATCATTAGCCCCAACATGTACCACAAAAATTGCATTGCTACTAGCACCCTTAACTATCTCTCTGGTTCTATTAGTTATATCCTGTAACCCTGCTCATGGATAGCATAAGCATATTCTTCTGTTCCTATTTACTCCACATACTACTCTATCTACATGCCTAACTAGAGTGCCACCTACAGCTATTAACTTCCCTATCCTTTACACTATCATCCCTTGTGATCCCATCAGTTTCCCTTACCTGCTCCCCTTCATCACTAGCAAGTTACAGGTAAATACACTAAAGCATCATTAGCCCTCACATTCAATTCTGTTACAAGTTATGTGAGAGGTATTTTTATTATTTAGTGTTACAAAATCTTTGATAAATCTGTAGTTATAATCAAATCCTTCTGAGTTATAACCATTTTCTGAAATTTGTTTTGTAATATAATTACAGTTGTTAAACAAAGTGAACAGTGAGCTCCCATACAGATGCCATCATTATGTTTAAGAGGTAGTTCTAACTTCCCCCATGTTTGGAAATGAACCATCTCCAAAGTAACAAGGACAAAATTAAATTATCATAACATTAAGAGGAACCATTTGGTTCTTCAAAGCCATTCCTGGACACCACCTCTGAGAAAAAGTAAAAATTTTAAGAATGTTTAGTTTTTCAGAAAGTCATTTATTGCTAGTCTTAACCTCCAGGTGGCTCTTTAACTCCAACTTACTCAATTACTCATCTAATTTCTGCAGAAATTATTATAAATCACTAGAAGTTTTAATATTTTGAAAATATTTGTACCATAAAATGAATACTTTATCTCGTCCACAACTTTATAAAGTATAAAAATATGATTAATGGTATAATAGCTGAAAGTAGACAAGTTTGAATTTATAACTGCATGAAATTTTTTCTACATTCTACTAATCAGAATGCTGTCTTTGTTCATTGACTGAGTACTGTATGGTTTGAAGAATATATTAAGTTTATAATATATACCTTACACTGATCTTTCTATGTAGTTAATATTGTACACATTTTGTTTTACCTTATTATGCAGTATACTTTGCAAGCACTTTCTTTGGGCTGCTGGTGCTTCACTATTAGTAACAAGAAACTAATTATTTTTGCATCTTGAAATATTAATAACAATTTATATCCACCACTGAAAGTTTAATCACTTTAGTACTTCTTCCTTTATTGATAGAAGGAGCAAGAGCCATTTTATATGACCATTACTTTTCTGTTTATAGTTAGGTGGTAGAAATTGTATAAAATTAAGTACTGGTTTCTGTTTTGAATTTTCATGTAATACAAAGAAAAAAACCAACAAAATCATATAATGTGTTACATACTCTGTTTCAACTAGGTGTCAGGTTAGTAGATTATAAACTAACGTCAGATAAGGAACATAATTAATGAAACTTTGATTCACCAATCAGGGAAGTGTAACAAGGCTAGAATATGATGTTATTTGATTGTTCAGAACTTCCATCAATTACTGAATTTTGAAGTAGGTGGCAAGAAATACTGATTTCAATCTGGTAAGTGTACAAGTTAATAGCTTCAGGAAGTTTGACAGTTATGACAACCACTTGGTCTGTTCACGTCCCATACTTAAATATGTCATTAACTATTAAAATGTGGTTTAAAGTGATTAAATAATATTATATGATTCATTTCTTATATTTATCTTACAAGGATACAGTATACTTATAAATTATCTAAAAACTAATAACATTTCTTTCTTTTATTATCTGAAGTATATCAGGATTTTAATTTATTGTCTGTCAGTTCTTTGTGAAAATCAAAAAGGCTTGATCTTGTACTTGCATATGTTCTGCAACATTATTGGGTTTTAGTGAAAAAACCCATTACCAAAATTAACATATTATTTAAAATAGTATGCCAAACTTTATCAGTTAAAACCTGAATATTCTATCAAAAAGTGGCATGTATTTTCCTGACAACTAGATCCAAATTGCAGTTTCAAAGCTGAAATAAAACTTTGCCATTCACATACTTTAAGTGAAAAAGTTTTTTATTTTGTATACTTCTGCATGCTTTTTAAAATTACTGTTTAACAGTAAATGACAAACTTTTTTAAGATACCTAGTTCCACCCATTCATATGGTTTATGCAAAAAGTTACTTTACCTATTTTTATATGTTTGTGTGTGAAAACTACACATGTAAATATGCATTACTTTTATTCATCAAATATGACACTTCTGTATGACTATGCATGATTTTCACTTAAAAATCACAACTTTAGTCAAATGTAAACAGAAATGTTTTTTTTTTTTGTATACATTCTTGTCTGATAAATACATTTGTTTATGTCATTACATTTCTCTGGAAAGAGATATGATAACTTTCAGTTTACAGCCACAGCCACACACTACATTTCAGCCCATTACTAAGTTAAAATTATTACAAGAAAAAAAAAGTAACCATTTTATGCTTATATGTACTCATTCATGGATTTAGATCTAAAAATAATGCAGCCACAAATATTTACACCTTAACAGATTTAACTGCTTGTGAAATATGGAAGATACCTCTCATCTTCATTTATATATTTCTGGTTAAGCTATTAAAGCTACCTGCCACCATGCCCAATTTTGAACTGCCAACCAGAGGCAAGGCAAATTTATTTATCTTGATATCACTTTTACTGATATTTTAACAATAACTTTTTGTCACTTGCAAAAAAAAAACTTTATTGATTGCATGGGTGAGAGAGAAAAGAAGCATTATTCTAGTGGATATATTGTTTAAATGCATCTTTAATTTAGTTTTACAAACAGTTGTGGATATACTTTTAAGCATAACAAAATAAATACCGTTTTGTCCGGCGATCTTAAATATACCCCCCCCCCTTTCAGAAAACATGGGAAAGAAATAAAAGTGCGTGTCATAACATCTTTTTCAGGTCTGCAAAATAAATACTATAACTGAACAGCCTGCAGGTGGATTAGTTGCAAGAATTAGCAATGACCTTGAGCGAACATCTGGCGCGCATGCGTAGACGGATGCTATCTGGACATTCAGGAATGCGACAGGCTAGAGTAGGGGAAGGGACCTGTAGTCGGCCGCGATTATAAGGCAATTATGAATTTTACAGCCTAA